TGTTCTGCTCTTCTGCACAAAGATTCTATTATTTCTCTCAATCCATATTCCACCATAATGATCTTGAAGATGTGAGCTGAAATAGTCTTCCCTTTTGCATGTTGTATACTCCAATGCATAAATTGCTCCCAGTTAGTAGGCAGCATGTCAAGCTGGTGCACCAATTTTAGCAATCTGCTCCATAATTAACCTGATGGCAAAGTGACAATGAATAACCAAATGCTCTATGGTTTCCTCCTCGTTTTGGCACATAACACACTTCTTTGATACTACCATCCCCCACTTTGTTAACCTGTCTGTAGTTGGCAACTTCTTATGAAGCATGAGCCACATGATGAAATAAGCTTTTAATTTGATCTCGCAGCATTCTTGAACATAAGGCATTTCCAGTCAATCCTCTGTTGTTCCCCTATCAAAGACAAATAAATTTTGGATGTAAGTTTCATGAAACAATAAAGATGAAATTATATAGATAAAAATAGAGGAATATCAAAAAGATATCTAAAAGTTTTAAATTAAATATTGGAAGGTTTCAAAGGGCCAAAATAGATAAAAGAGAACAACTTTAAGATTATTAAAAAAAAAAAGGAAAAATTACTGGAATATTCAATTTAAGACTTTAATTTATATAATGTTAATTTACTCTTTTTATTTACAACATTATCATTTTAATTACAAACCTGACAACTTAATAAATATACATATCTTTATACGATTTTTTTACCTAGTTTTTAGCTTAGTGGGCTGATTTTATCTGTTTCATAATTTATTATTTTTACTTTTTTGATTTTCAATCACAACTATAATTGGTTACATTAATTTTGCCTTTTTTTTTCTCTTTCTTACTTAATACAATTACACTTCTAAATTTATTTTTTCTTTCTCTTCAATTACGTTTTTTTTTTACTTTTAGAATAATATAATGATAAAAAATATATATATATGATATAGAATGGTATAAACTTCTTGTTTTTCTTTATATTATTTAAGTGCAAAATTGGTATATATATGGTGGTAAAATTATGAAATAGAATAGTATAAACATGTTGTTTTTCTTGGTATAAGTTATCTGTAGAATAATATAGTGGAAATTAGGATATGGAATGGCATAAACATGTTTTTTTGAATATAAATTTTTTAATATTGTATATATTATGGTGACAATTTGGTGTACATTACAATTTTTGACATACCGTATTTATTTTGGAATTCTCAATGACAATTATAGTTGAATATGATTTTTTTACTTAAAGATCCTATTTTTTTAGGATGCAGGTTTCTTTCTCTCATTTTTTTGGTTGATTTTTTCAATTCTAGTGCTGATTTTTTTGGGAGAATTTATTGCCTAATTAATAGGATTTTTACCATTTAACACATTCCTTATTTGATACAATTAATTACTCTTGAATTTGTTCTTCTCTCTCTCCATTTTCGTTTCAATTCTTTTATAAAAAATACCAATTTAAGTTCCATTATATAAGTACCAATATATGCAAAGTAATAAAAAAAAAAACAATTTGCATACCCTAATAATAACCATTTGCATACCACAATAATTATTTATGCATACTAATTTGTATATCAATAATAGAATTCTTTTAGGTAATATTGTAAAAAAGGAAAATATGAAATCTTATTATGGTGTGAATTGATGTACAGTATGATTTCAATATATATATTTCTATTTGTAAATACAATTTTACTATTATATAATTTGATTCTTTAAAACGGTATACATTGTGGTATAGAACTTGAAATTACACTAAAACTATATGACACTATTTACGAATAACATTAAAAATTTATAATATAAAAAATGTACCATATAATAATACTAACATTTGTACTATATAATATACCAACATTATTGAATTCTACCCCATATCAAAATTGTACCATATAATATACCAACAATTATTGAATTCTACCCCATACAATATACCAATTAGTTGATATTTCGTGCCATTTTTTTTTCAAATGACATTTAATACCACAAGGAAAATCAACATAAACAATAGAACTAATTACATCATATGATTAAATATGATTCTGAAAAAAATGTTTAATAAACAACCAATAAAATTCAAATCCGCTAATAACATTCAATTAGATTATGAAAAAAAAGTGTTATAAAAAAGAATTAACTCAACAATGCTAATCCTCATATGGATATTTGGTACAAGTTTTGGTATTTGATTTTTTTTTAAATGGTATTTGCGTCACATATCACTTCTTCAATCTTGAAATCCACATACCTTCCTGCAATATATTTTTAAAAAAAATTAAAGAACCTACTAAACAACTGTTATAACAATCAAATTTGAAATACACAATCATATTTTTTTTACATCACCAAAAAAAGTTATATACGAAATGGTGTATAATATGGTTAAAAATTGGTGTCCACTTCATTATTCTTATAATGAAATTTGAACACCAACTTATAACAAACTATATATATAACATTGATTTATTAAGATTGACAAAGTTGAACATGATTATATGTTACAATCCAACGGTGCATAATACCATGATTATATGATTAAGGTGTACATTATGATGACAATTTGGTGTACATTTCAATCTAATATATAATGTACGATATACACCAAACATTTACACCACAAACTAACCAAAAGTAACTAATTTATTTATATAATAAATTTAATTAAACAATCAACTACATGCATAATACCATCATATAATATCTATTTTTAAAAATTTACACATTAATTATAGTGTACTTGAATGGTGTACCGTATGTGTATAATTTAATATAATAAATAATACATATTTTAAACCAATATTACACCATGATCTTACCAAGAATTTTAACAAATTATTTTGGATAACCAAATTAATTAAAAAGTGTGTACATTACTATTTAACATTGATTTCCATATTAGTATTGTCATTAAACAGTGGTAAATTTATAGAATTCGAGTAATATTAGGTGTTAATCTTAATTTTGATTATATTTGCAATCCTACAATTCATAATACCATAATCTACAAACTATACGAGATGTTTGTTTAAACAATTATACAAACAGCATTAGTGCCATGAATGATTCATCAAAATCAATTTACAAATAATAAAATTTTCATGATTAACCACAACAAAAAAAGCCTTAAAAGAGATTTTTCAGCCACTGAAACATTTGTTTTTTTTTTTGAAAAATCAAACTCTATAATCTTACAAAAATAAATCAGAAGTAATTTAAAAATATGATACATACCGGTGATATCTCATATTTGTCGTGCTGAATTAAAACGGACACGTTCTTGCTTTCAACCATTGAAACGACCTTAAACAGGAGATAAAGACTTTGTATTGGTTACAATACGTTGTTTTGAGATATGAGAGAAATATTAAGTAATGAATATCTATGGAAGGTAACTGAATTGGAGTAAATTAAGGAATTAATATCTTATTTAATATTGAATGATGCATTGCTTCTTCTTTTTTTTACCCTTTTTTTTTAATTTATTTTTATTTTGTTTTATTTTGTAAAGATTCTATTGCTATGTTGGTGTAAAGTCAAACTATTGTTATATAGAGGTTATTTAGGTCCTTAAATTGTATATTTAAGTTTTTTATTTCAACTTTCAACTTTTTTTTGTTCCCACTTTTAGTAATATATGATGACTAGTTTATGGGGACGTGCACCGCACGTGTATTCCATGTGAATTTTTATGAATTTGTTAGAACAAAAAAAAATCTATGAAAATATACATGGAATGAATAATTACATACCAATTTGAGCCCACATAAAAAATACAAATTAAAGAAGTTTAATAGGGAAGGAAAAAAATAGATACGAAAAATATAATATACACATTCTTCTTAGGATTGTAATCATAACAATATTGATGGAAAAAAAATAATATAGAATCAGTACAGAATTTTTCAAGTTCTTGTCGACTCCTTCTCCCTTATAGCCTTCTTCATCGAGTCAAAATAAAGCATGAATCAAATAGTACACTAATGATGTAAACACTTCATTACTCTAACTATAAAATGAAAATGATAACCTTGGGTGATCACATGAACCAAAAAATCGGTAATTGGTAATTATTAAAGTTCTTAAAAATAAAATAAAATTTGAATCTGAACGATTTGCCACTGTTAATCTATGATAAAGAACCGAAAATAAAAAGAAAAAAGAGTCGGTGGGGGGCTGATTCTTATGGGTCGCAGGGAAAGGTTTGGTGGATGGGGGAAATGTGCAGAGTACAAAATTTTATTTTATTTTTTATTATTTAAAATATATTTTTTCCCTATATTGAATTATATTTTTTAATAATTTTTTGGATCCACAGACACATGTCATAACTTTATTCGTCATAGTGTCATGTCATAGCGAGTATATCTCACAGACTTAATATTTTAGGCTGATTGTCCAAAAAATGTCAAATATGTGTCAATCTAAGTACTAGAGGTGTTCAATAGATACAAGATTTAGTTAAGGAGTTCAAGTAAAATATGCGAATAACTTTAAGAGGTTGTGTATGACTTAAGCCGGTTATTATTTGTCAATAATGTAGTACTTATGATGTCGGCATTGAAGCACAATAATTGTTGCCATTTAGCAGCTCAATTCACCTCCTTTATCACCATTGAATCTATATCTGCCATTGTTGATTTAGAAGATTAGAAAAAAGAAAGAAAAGGAGAGTAGTGTTCTGATAGATAGTAGGGAAGAATTTGGGTGGGTTTGGTAAAATTGGTAATTATTAAAGTTTTTTTAAAAAAAAAAAGAAAATTTGAATCTGAACGATTTGTCATTGTTAATTTATGATAATGAACCGAAAACAAAAAGAAAAAAGAGCCGGTGGGGGGCTGATTCTTATGGGTTGCAGGGAAAGGTTTGGTGGGTGGGCGAAATGTGCAGAGTACAAAATTTTATTTTATTTTATTGAATTATATTTTTTAATAATTTTTTTTGGATCCACTGACACATATCATAACTTAAGCAGGTTATTATTTGTCAATGATATCGGCATTGAAGCACAATAATTGTTGCCATTTAGCAACTCAATTTTATCTGTCCGAAAACTCTAGTGGAAACTGCCCAAGTATATCTGTAAATGGAACTTATCAAGGTTGATGAAGCCCCATTGGGTTGCCACATATTGGCGATTCCTTATCCAGGGAGAGGCTGTTGGCAACATGATCAGACGTGGTTTAGTAGTTAGGTTGTTGCATTTGTTTAGGAGTCATTAAGTTGTTTCCTAGTCTTTAGGTTATAGGAGTAGTGGAGTCAGTTTTTTATATTCAGAATTATTAGGAGAGTAAACGTGTTTTTTTATCTATAATGTTTTCTATTTAAGGACTCTTGTAACTGAGTATTAATGGAATACAAACAGAGAAAATTTTCACACTTGCGAGTCTTTTCTTTTCATCTTTGCTGCAGTTTATTTTCTATCATTTGGTATCCGAGCCAGAAAGTTTTTTTCTTCTTTTTTGAAGTACTATTGCAGCAACAAAAGATGGCTTCTGAAAATTTTGTCCAGGCCGCTATTCCGCGCTTCGATGGTCATTACGACCATTGGAGCATGTTGATGGAGAACTTCCTTAGGTCCAAAGAGTTTTGGCCAGTTGTCAGTATTGGAGTGAAAGAGCCAGCAACTGGTACTGCCTTGTCGGAAACACAAAAGGCAGAGTTGGATAGTCTAAGATTGAAGGATCTCAAAGCGAAGAATTACCTTTTTCAGGCTATTGATCGCTCAATACTGGAAACCATTCTTTGCAAGGATACTTCCAAACAAATATGGGAATCCATGAAGAAGAAGTATCAAGGAACAGCGAAGGCAAAACGAGTGAAGCTTCAAGCACTCCGTGGTGAGTTCGAGACTCTACGTATGCAAGGTGGTGAGTCGGTAACAGATTATTTCTCTAGGACGTTGGCTATCGCAAACAAAATGCGAATTCATGGTGAAAAACTGGAGGATGTTACCATTATTGAGAAAATACTTCGCTCAATGACAGCAAAGTTCAATTATATTGTTTGCTCCATTGAAGAATCCAAAGATATCGATACTTTTTCTCTTGATGAGTTGCAGGGTTCTTTGTTGGTTCATGAACAGAAAATAAACCAACAGGACAAGGATGAAGTAGCATTGAAGGCAGCAATGTCTTCGAAAGGTACAAATCAGGAGAAGGTCAAATGGAAAGGAAATAATCGGCACCAGAAGAAAGAGAAGAGCAGCACTGCAGATTCCCAGGAAAAAAAAAAGGAGTGACAAGTCTCAAATTGAATGCTATCGATGCCATCGATTTGGACACTATCGATCTGAGTGTCGCACCAATTTAAATAGGAAGAGTGGTGGCAGATCTAACTTTGCAGAAATGAAGGAGATGTGGAAACAAAGGGGGAAGAAGAGGAGATTTCACTTTTAATGGCATACACTGCCAAAGAGAAAGCTTCAAATGATGTATGGTATCTCGATACAGGCTGTAGTAATCACATGCGTGGGGAGAAAGAAGCATTCTCAGAGCTGGATGAAACTTTCCGAGATACTGTCGAGATTTGGAGATAATTCAGTGGTCTCTGCCATGGGAAAAGGAAAGGTACAAGTCAACTCCATTCATACCATTAGTGATGTGTTTTATGTCCCTGCGCTGAAGACAAATCTACTAAGTGCTGGGCAACTTTAAGAAAAGGGATATAAACTTAATATCAAAGGTGGAGTTTGTAAGATACGAGATTCTCATTTGGGGTTAATCGCACAGATTAACATGTCATCAAATCGCTTGTTCCCTTTATATCTTCACAACTCCACAAAATCTTGTCTCTCTGCAAAAGTTAAAGGGGATTCCTGGAAGTGGTATTTTCGCTATGGTCATTTAAATTTTGGAAGCTTGAAGTTTCTAAAACAAAAACAATTGGTGTTGGGTCTTCCAGAGCTTGAATCTCCCAATGAAGTATGTGAAGAGTGTGTTGTTAGCACGCAACACCGTGAACCATTTCCAAAACGCAATTCTTGGAGGGCAAAGAAGGTTCTGGAGTTGGTTCACTCAGATATTTGTGGTCCGATAAGTCCTACATCTAATGGAGGTAAACGCTATTTCATTAGCTTTATTGATGATTATAGCAGAAATACTTGGGTTTTTTTCTTAAGAGAAAAATCTGAAGCATTTGAAACTTTTAAGCAGTTTAGAGTGCTTGTTGAAAATGAAGTAGGTTGTCAAATTAAGTGTTTGCGGACTGATCGAGGTGGTGAATATAACTCACTAGAATTTGTAGAATTTTGTGAGAAACATGGAATTAAAAGGCACCTTACCGCAGCCTACACACCTCAACAGAATGGTCTGTGTGAAAGAAAAAATCGCACAATTCTAGATATGGTGCGTAGTCTTTTGAAGAGAAGTCACTTACCAAGAGACTTTTGGGCAGAAGCAGTTCGTTGGAGCGTTCATATATTGAATAGATGTCCTACCAACTCTATTCAAAGTATGACACCTCATGAAGCTTGGAGTAGGCGTAAACCAAATGTTGAGTACTTTCGGATTTTTGGATGTATAGCATATGCACATATTCCAGATGCAGCAAGGAAGAAGTTGGACGATAAAGGTCAGAAGTGCATTTTCCTTGGTATTAGTGACAAATCAAAAGCTTATCGCTTGTTCAATCCTATTACTAAGAAAATAGTTGTTAGCCGAGATGTTATTTTTAATGAAGAAGCAATCTGGAATTGGGGTGATAACAATTCGTTTCAACATATTCCAGTTTCTGTTGAAGAAGAAGAGGAACCAGAACGACCTTTGGAGATCAGTTCACAACCAAGTCCAATTGTACAGGATGCTGAAAGTGTTGAACACGAATCAGATGGTTCTCAGCTCAACAATGAACGTCCACAACGTATTAGAGGGGCACCAAGATGGTTGGAAAATTATGAGGTATATGGGACTAGGAAATCTGGAAATACAGTAAGTCATTTTTCTTATTTTTAGATTGTGATCCTATATCTTTTGCTGATGCTGTTAAGACCTGAAGTGGCAGCAAGCCATGGATGAGGAGATTAGATCAATTGAAAAAATGATACTTGGGAGTTGACAAATCTTCCAGAAAATCAGAAAACCATTGGTGTCAAAATGGGTTTACAAAACAAAGTTGAAGGAAAACGGAGAGGTCGACAAGTTCAAAGCTCGCTTAGTAGCAAAAGGCTACAAGCAAGAATATGGTGTTGACTATGTAGAAGTGTTTGCTCCCGTTGCTCGTTTAGATACCATCAGATTGGTGATTGCTTTGGCTGCTCAAAATGCTTGGAAAATCTATCAGCTGGACGTGAAATCTGCCTTCCTACATGGTGAACTTCAAGAAAAGGTATCTATCGAACAACCTCCTGGCTATGTGAAATTTGGTGGTGAGAATAAAGTGCTTAGACTGAAAAAGGCTCTTTATGGACTAAAACAAGCTCCAAGAGCTTGGTATAGTCGCATAGATACTTATTTTTCAAAGGAGGGATTTCGAAAGTGTCCATATGAACATACTCTCTATATAAAAAGGAAAGGTGCAGGGGTCTTAATGGTGTGTTTATATGTGGATGACTTAATTTATACCGGAAGTGATGAGTCTATGATTGAGAACTTCAAGAAGTCCATGATGGTTGAGTTTGACATGTCCGATTTGGGTATTATGCATTATTTTCTTGGTTTAGAAGTGAATCAATCTGCTGATGGTATTTTGTTCTCAAAAGAATATGTGCAAGATATTCTGGACAGATTCCAGATGAAAAATAGCAACACTGTGAGCACACCAATGGAGAAGGGTCTGAAGCTCGTCAAAGAACCTGAAGGGAGAAAAGTGGACAGCACTTTATACAAGCAAATCATTGGAAGCTTGATGTACTTGACGGCAACAGGCCTGATGTTATGCACGCTGTAAGTCTCATTAGTAGATTCATGGAGAGTCCAAAAGAAATGCATCTACAAGCTGCCAAGAGGATCCTGCGGTACTTGAATGGCACCAGTGACCTTGGAATTCTTTATCAGATGAGAGCAGCTGGAGATTTAGTTGGTTACACTGATAGTGACTATGCTGGAAATCTTGAAGACAGGAAAAGCACATCAGGATTATGTTTTTATGTTGGGCTCTGGAGTTATTTCTTGGTCTTCAAAGAAGCAACCTATTGTTACTTTGTCGACTACCGAGGCAGAGTATGTAGCTGCAACATCGTGTGCTTGTCAAGCAGTATGGCTGAGGAATATTCTTGAAGAACTTCATTTTAAGCAGGAAAGACCAACTCCAATCTATTGTGACAATACTTCGGCGATTAATCTTTCAAAGAATCCAGTTGAACATGGACGAAGTAAGCATATAGATGTGAAGTATCACTTCTTGCGTGATCTGACTAAGGATGCAAACATTAGTCTTATTTATTGTAGGAGTGAAGAGCAGGTTGCAGACATGTTCACAAAGCCCCTGAAACCAGTGTCCTTTCTAAAGCTACGCGATCAACTTGGTGTTTGCAAATTAAACTGAAAGATGTTTCAGTTTAAGGGAGGGAATGTTGGCAACATGATCAGACGTGGTTTAGTAGTTAGGTTGTTGCATTTGTTTAGGAGTCATTAAGTTGTTTCCTAGTCTTTAGGTTATAGGAGTAGTGGAGTCAGTTTTTTATATTCAGAATTATTAGGAGAGTAAACGTGTTTTTTTATTTATAATGTTTTCTATTTAAGGACTCTTGTAACTGAGTATTAATGGAATACAAACAGAGAAAATTTTCACACTTGCGAGTCTTTTCTTTTCATCTTTGCTGCAGTTTATTTTCTTTCAGAGGCCACATTAATCCATTGATGAATTTGTGCAAGCTCATAGCTGCAACGTCCACACCAGATCTTCTACTACAAATCTCTTTTATTGTAACACAAGAGTGGTTCAGCATTTTGAAATCAGAGCCAAAACCAGATAATATCCAATTTCGAACAATTCCAAATGTAATTCCCTCAGAAAAAGATCGAAGCAAAGATTTGCCGGGCTTCATGGAAGCTGTATTTACAAAGATGGAAGCTGACGGGTTTCCAAAGCCTAATGTGATTTTAGCTGATTCGTTCTTGCCGTGGGCCGTCAGTATTGGGGAGCGGAGGAATATTCCGGTGGCTTCATTTTGGACCCCTTCTGCCACCGTTTTCTCCATCCATTATCACTATCAACTACTCAAGGATAATGGACATTATGAAGCCAATTTAGCAGGTACCTAACTTGTTTTTTCCTTTTTCCTTGTTAGATTAAGATGCATGTCATGTAATTGTAACCTTACTTGTTTGAATTTTGAATTTATGAATTTTTTTTTTTTTTTTTTGAAAGAATAGCTTAATAAGTTTTGAATAAATTATTTATACGTATTTTAAAAAAAAAATTAAGCATACATACAGATACAGATATCAGATATGAATTAAATCACAAGCATAATTGTAACTCCGACCTTGCTTCCAAAGTTCACATTGTATCACATAAATTTGGCAGTTTCATTTTATCTTAAAAGAAAAAACTTGAAATTTACGAAATGGTTTTCTAGATTGTTATCAAAGTAAAATCTCCTTCCCTCTAAACTGATTGGCTTCAAATTTCGAATTTTCTTCTAGCTTTTACCAACATTTAGAAAAAAATTTAAGGGTTGATACTTTGACAAGTTGTCGGAAATTCTTTCCAAATTACTGTAATTAGTAGGAGTACAGTAATTACCTCGCTTAAATTTGGTGAAATTAAGTTTTTGTAGATATGTATTCACCCGCATTTGTCTACCTAACTAATTACAAAGTTGGAAATAGGAATGTAACATAAGTTGAGTTTCTTAATTTTCTAATGAACAGAGCAAGGAGAAGAACTCGTAAACTACATTCCTGGGATAACACCAATTCGTGTAGAGGATCTCCCATCTGTAATCTACGGCAAACAAAGGAAGTTATTGCCCTTTCTTCTCGAATATGTATCACAATTGGCCAATAAGGCACAATACGCCTTGTTCACCACCATTGAAGCATTGGAATCTCAAGTGCTAGAGGCTTTACAAGCTGAATTACCAGTCCCCATTTTCACAGTTGGTTTAACAATCCCTTGCTTGGATACCGAATTCAAGTCCAACCAGCCTAGTCCAAACTACTTGTCATGGCTTGATGATCAACCTAAGGACTCTGTTCTATACATATCCCAAGGAAGTTTCATGTCTGTATCAAAAGAACTGCTAGATGAAATTATAGCAGGTGTGCACAGCAGCGGTGTCCGAACGTTTTGGGTGTCAAGTGAGAATGCATCCTTACTTACAGACGGAATTGGGAAGAGGGGAATCGTGGTGCCTTGGTGCGACCAATTGAAAGTTTTGTGCCATCCTAGTGTAGGTGGATTTTGGTCGCATTGTGGATGGAATTCAACCAAGGAAGGTGCATTTGCTGGTGTTCCATTTCTTACGTTCCCCATTGGGGCTGATCAAGGTACCAACAGTAAACAAATAGTGGAGGACTGGAAGATTGGGTGGAGGATCAATAAGGATCGCGAGAACCTGGTTAAGAGAGATGAAATCGCTCAGCTTTTGCAGAGTTTTATGGACCTTGACAGCTACGAAGGAAAAGAAATGAGAAGAAGAGCAATGGAAATAAGGAACACCTGCCTAGAAGCAATTGAAGGCGGCACCATCCAGGGAAATATCGACAAGTTCATTCGGGACATTTCTCGAGGAACAAGGCAGTGATTTACTTGACAAACTGTCCAGGTACCCGCCGTGACCAGCAATACGTTTCTAGTCACTGTAATAAGCTGTTTGTACCCTTGTGATCTTCTCGTCCAAAAGGTTATGTTTGCACTAGGAAACAGTTCCTATTCGTTTTGTTCTTATTTTGGGATTGTTTTGTTTCTTGTGCTGGTTTCATTTACTGAGTGTGCTTATATCTATCCTACTTATTGAATAGTCTCGTTAAAGTGGCTTGGCGTTGCTCGCATTTACCTCTGCTTCTATTGAGTTACTTGAGAATTTTCAAATATAATCCACATAAAAATCATCATGTCATTCACATTTTTCTTATATTTCTGCGTGTATAAGGTATTAGTATGATATAATTGAGTCATTTCTTGAAAATCCAATGTCATATTTCTCTATTATAAGGATATATGTAAGTCAAAATCGAACTTTAAAATACTGAATTAGTTTGATATGGTAATGATATACTAGTATTTTTTAAAAGTCAAAATTAAGAATCAAAGTCTTTCATAAAGTACCATGTCAACTTGTGGTCTGTAACCACGTGTAACTTGTCAAGTGCCCCATTAACATCAATACAATTCTTCATTACTTTTCTTATACTTTATTTATGACTTTTTCTTTTAATTTTGTTACAACTTCCTCCTTCATTTATACTTTATTTACTTTACCTTTGGTTTTAAATTTTCTCTTATATTTAGTGTAATTTCTTGTGATAATTCTTTCTTTTTTTTAAATCAATATTCTCTTGTTTTCTTGAAAAAATTTGACCGGCTAAGAAATCCCTCAAAGTAATTCATTTTTTTCTAAGAAATTAAGAGTTTTTAACTATAACGTTTAAATAGTTGTGCACTTATAGAATTATACTATGCAATAATTAGTAACTTTAATCAAGAGAGTGAGCACCCACAAACCTAAAATCCAAAATCGGCCCCAATGGTCATAACCAAGAAACTTTAATTAAAGAGAGGGAGCACCCACGAACCTGAAATCCTGAATCGGCCCTAATATCCTGAATTGGCCCCAATGGTCATAACTAGAGGTGGCAGAATTGGTAATTAATATGGGTATTCGCTCATATTTACTCATTTTAAATGAGTTGGGTATCCAACTCATTTAAAATGGGTAAAAACGAATAATACTCATATTACCCATTTAAAAGTGGGTAGTTAAATGGATAAAAGATATACATTCACACAAACAAAAAAAAGTGATAAAGGGTGGGATAGTAAGAAAGTTTTTTTTTTAAAAAAAAAAAATTATTGGAAAAAATTTAAAATTTTATTAATTTTTTTTTTGGATGGGTGTGGGGGGGGGCTGGTAGGGGGTG